TCGATTTCAAAAACATATTATTCGAGAACTCATATCCAAAAGCATTAGTAAATGAATTACTTTTCTGTGATACTACACACCATCCTATCATATCTATACTTGTGATATACTGTTTGAACCTTTGGTGTAGTAATGAATATTACCGGAGTTTTTTCCCAACACCAAATCGTTATTTTTACACCTCGACACGTATATCGATCACCAAGTGATCATCTTCAAGAGGAAGATAAAACTAATAACTACTCAAAACTAAAGCTACTTATACTAATCAGGTACATCATACAGGTAGGTAATCAGTAATACCACCCATACAAGCGTACCACCCTAAAGTATTATGAAGTTTCTGAGTCAGGTAAGTATGAGAGTGTTGGAAAATTGATTTTTGTGTCTGGGGAATAACATGTTGTATAAGTAAGCCGACAGGAAAAAATTCTGTCCTATGACAGACTGTGGACTGTGGTCCATAGGACTGTGGTCCTATAGTAATGGATGGCAATATTGTGATAAAAGAGTTGGCAAATATCATGAGCTTGTGCTGTGTTGAACAGAGTTTCAGTTGAATAATAAGGAGGTTTCGACAATATTAATTTCAGGAACCTATTTTGGAGCACCTCAAGAGGGCGAAGTGGCGTATGGTAGGTTCCTTCCCAACAAGCGATTCCGTAGCTCAGGTAACTCGCTACAAATGTATGGTACAAATTTTGAGTTTAGAGTTCGTTACAATTTCTACCAAAAATTTGAATTTAAAAAGTATGCAACGCAACTCATTACAAATATACTGAATATGAGCATCCCATTTGAGATGTGAATCTATTATTACTCCTAAATATTTTACTTTAGATCCGGAAAGTTGATAAATTTTCCATTGTGAAAAACATGATTTGCTGGAATTATTGCAACTGAAAAAATATAATGAGTTTTTTCCAGATTCACTGTCAATAATCGATGTTCGAGCCAATTTTGAATCAAAACCAGATCCGATTTAATCACATCTTTCAGTTGCTCCCAGCTATTTCCCTTCTGAAAAATGGCTATATCATCTGCGAAGCCCAATATTTCACTTCTGCTCCTGATGGAATATAGTGCATTAACATATATGTTAAATAAAAATGACTCTACAACTGTGCCTTGGGGGACTCCCATAACAGTTTCTTGTGTATCACTCAAAATGTCATGAATTTTTACACACTAAACTCTATTGATGAGATAGCTTTCGAACAAGTTCAGAATATCACCTCTTATACAAATATCTTCTAGTGTTTTTAGAAAAAGGTTGTAGCCAACTGTGTGTTGGTCTTTACGTCTTGGGTAGATAATTGCTCGCGAAACCCAAGTTAACGGTCAGATATAATATTATATTTTGAGACATAAGATATTAGGCTTTTTTTAAATAATCTTTCCAAATACTTTGTTCAGGTGTGTAATGAATGATATGAGTCGGTATTTGATAATGTCTGTCTCATCGCTTTTTTTAAATAATGGGGTTATGGTTTTTTTGAAAGCTGTTGACCAGATATCATTTTCCATACATTAATTAAGAATGAATGCCAAAGGCTCCTTTATATGAAAAGAGATGGCCTTTAGTGTTTGAGAACAGATATCGTCGATTCCAGTGGACTTGTTTGTTTTCGGTAGGTCGGTCGGTAGCCAGGCGGTTCGGCGTGGGTGCTTTGTTCACTCACTCGAATTGACTGCCGTGTAGGTCCGTGGTTCAAGCCCTAGTCTGAGTGATCGGTTTTCACTTGCTATCGTCCAACCCGTGTTAGGTTGGAATCACACATTAAAAGGTGAGACCTCGTTAATATTTAGCTCGCACAAGTTTCGACTTCTGAGGGTTGTCGTTCGTAGGCGAACGACAGCTGGTTAACGGAAAAACATATTTTGAACAGATTTTTAAACAGATTTTTCAGAGACATATGAGAAGTCGGAGCCTAAGGTGATAAATATAGGTGGGTGGCAAGTTGACTTGGGTGTCACATCAATAGGTGTTTCCGTTTATGTTTCACTTGCATTTACGCACTTATTTTTATCAAGTACTTTTCTTGATTTTTCACATTTTGTCTTCAATCGACGACCGTCTGTCCGGTACTGACGATGGCCAAAAGGCTGAAACAGCTGTCTACCGGTGGCCCTTAAATTGAAATCAATATGGGAATGATCAGATAGTACTTATCTGATAGTACTGATATCAATAATCGGACATAGCACTCAAGAAAGTGGCAAATCATGACACGTGTTTCGGGCATTTGGTCCATCATCAGTATCTACCAAGTGTTGCCTATTCTTACACTTGGCTGCACCATACTGATGATGGGCAAAAAGCCTGAAAGATGTGCCTATGGTTTGTCACTTTTTTCAGTGCTATGTCCGATAATTAACTTCTGTTTCTATATCAAGACACTCAATAAGTTTCATATTTGTATAATTTCCTGGACCCAGATGTCACGCAGGTAGCTGTTGCTGCCTCCGTGGTGATTTTGATAGTTTTCTTGTAAAGACAAGATCTATCAACGGAAACCACAAATGTGCGGTTGCCTCCTGCTGGTGGCTCAGTGCATTTGTATTTCTATTTTTTGGCAACCAAGTGTTGCCCATCCTTACACTTGACTGCACCACACTGATGATGGGCCAAAAGCCGGAAACACATGTCTATGTTTTGCCAAATGTTCCAGAAATAAACAAAAATCTTTTCTCTGTTTTATCCGTGCAAGATAAAAACACGGATAGCCTATTTATTTCGAGTGCTGAAAAATGTCAAGTAAAACTTTCCGGAGAAACTATTTTAGTTGGAACAAGAAACAGATGTGGAGGATTGTACAAACTGAATTTGAAATTCGTCGAACCCGAAGTTGCTGTTAATGTAAATGCAGTTGGCAATGAAAACGTATTACAGCTGTACCATGAGAGACTAGGATGTCAATTTGGACAGTGAATTTTGTGAAGGTTGCGTTTACGGAAAAGCTCATATAATGAAGTTTGGTACCAGAGACAGAGCTGATGTCCCTGCACAACGAATACATGCTGATGTATGTGGACCTTTTTGTCCATCCAAGTCAGGTTACCGGTATTATGTCCAGTTCAAAGATGATTTCAGTAGGTTCCGTTATGTTTTCTTCATCAAAGAAAAATCTGAAGTTGTAGAAAAGCTGAAGATTTTACTCGCAGAGATTAAAGCTATGGGCTACACCGTTCAAGAATTCTTGTCAGATGGAGGTGGAGAATTCTCAAATAGAGAAATAACCAAAGTTCCCAATAACTATGGAATACGACAAAGAATCATCATTTCCGACACCCCTCAGCAGAATGGTTGCGCAGAGCGCGATAATCAAACATTAGTTGAAACTGTCCGAGCTTTGATGCATGCTAGAGAAGGACGAATAAGTCAAAGCTTGTAGGCTGAAATGATCAATACAGCTGTTTATATTTTAAACAGATCCGGTACATCTTGTATTGAAGAAAAATCTCCCTTCGAAATATGGTTTAAAAAGAAGCCCAATTTGAGGCATCTCAGAGTAATAGGCAGTTATTGCTATGCGCACATACCAAAAAGATGTCGAAAGAAAATGGATAGAAAGGCTATAAAACGAGTATTCATTGGATATGAGAATGTTGATGGATATCGTATCTGGTGTGAAGAAAGTAAGAGGCTAATACGATCTTGTGATGTAATTTTTCATGAAGATAAACCATTAAATTCGAATAAGTCAAAGCTTGTGGTCTGAAATGATCAATATTTTAAACAGATCCGGTACATCTGGTATTAAAGAAAAATCTCCCTTCGAAATATGGTTCAAAAAGAAGCCCAATTTGAGGCATCTCAGAGTAATAGGCAGTTATTGCTATGCGCACATACCAAAAAGATGTCGAAAGAAAATGGATAGAAAGGCTATAAAACGAGTATTCGTTGGATATGAGAATGATGATGGATATCCTATTTGGTGTGAAGAAAGTAAGAGACTAATACGATCTTGTGATGTAATTTTTCACGAAGATAAACCATTAAATTCTGTTATGACAAGAGTACATTTTACTGATGAAAATGAGACGTTAAAAGAAGACATACCAGTAGGCACAGATACTAAAAATACATCGGATATCTCCGGCTTTCAAACTGAAGAGATAGAAGATCCATTTCTAGAAGATGAGGACATTGTAATAAAAAGGCAGCTGAGAGATAGATATGAAATCAGAAAGCCACTCCGTTTCGATGATCATGCCATGATTGTTGCTAGTGAAATAACCGAACCTCAAGAGCCACTCACTTACGAAGAGTCCATCTCCTGCCCTGAGAGAGATCATTGGATTCGAGCAATGGAAAATGAAATTGAATCCCTAAATGAAAATCGAACTTGGATTTTGGAAGAACTGCCACCTAGTAGGAAAGCAATTTCATGTAAATGGGTTTACAAAAGGAAGCTGAATGTAGACGGTTCTGTAGATAAATTCAAGGCCAGATTGGTTATCAAAGGTTATTCACAAAGGAAGTGTGAAAACTACGATGAAACCTTCAGCCCTGTAGCAAAAGGTAGTACGATAAGAGCTGTTCTGAGTATTGCTGCTAGTAGAAAAATGACTCTCACCCAGTTTGATATTACTTCTGCATTTCTCTATGACGAGCTTGACGAAGAAGTTTATATGAAGCAACCTGAAGGATATGAGGATGGTACTAATCGAGTATGTCCACTTCAGAAAAGTTTATATGGACTCAAGCAAGCACCAACATGTTGGAATAAGCGATTCCATGATGTTGTGAAGAAACTTGATTTCCATAAAAGTAATGCAGATCCATGTTTATACATGAAGAAACATGGAAATGATATGATAATCTTGGTCATATACGTTGATGATGGGTTGATTGCAACAACTAATGATACATTGAAGAATAATTTCTTGCAAAGCTTGCAGAATGATTTCAAAATGACAGCGAAACCTGCTTCCTATTTCCTAGGATTGGAAATCAAAACTAGAAAAGATGGTTCCATTCAATTAAATTAAGCAGCTTATACAAGAAAAGTATTAGAACGCTTTGGCATGCAAGATTGTAAACCCGTTTCAGCACCGATTGTTAAAGATTGTATTCAATCAGAGAACGAATCCAAAATGGATTTGAATACAACTTTTCCATACAGAGAGGCGGTTGGGGCTCTTATGTATCTAATGACAGGTACTAGACCAGACATTGTTTATGCAATCAGTGTTGTTTCCAGGTCGTTAGAAGATCCCAGCAATCATAATTGTATCTAAGTAAAACGAATACTTCGATACCTCAAAGGAACAACAGATTACGGTATAACGTACAAAACAACCAGAATGGATGGCCTGAGAAGTTTTAGTGATGCTGACCATGGCGGTGATGAAACAACAGGACGTTCAACAACAGGTGTTATTTGTATATGTATGCTGGCGGTGCGATATCTTGGCTCAGTCAACGACAAACTTCAGTTGCTATTTCCTCAACGGAAGCTGAGATAGTAGCTGCAAGTGAAGCTTCCCGTGAACTGGTTTGGTTGAAACAGCTATATGAAGAATTTTTGGATATGGAATGTAATCCAGTATTGATGGTCGATAACCAAGCTGCAATACACTTGCCCCAAAATCCGGAATATCACAGACGTACCAAACATATTCATATAAGACATTTCTTTGTAAGGGAACTGGTCTTGAATGGTGCTATTTCAATTAAAAAAATAGCATCAGAACACCAAGTAGCAGATACACTTACCAAACCGTTGTTCAAGCCAAGATTGAATATTTTACGACAAAAAATGGGATTGAACAAATTATTCGATGAGAGAGGGTGTTGAAAAACCACCATTTTCATAATTTGTTAATTTGTTTTCGTCCACATTGTATATGTTTATAGGTAGTTAAGAGATTAATTTTGACATAATAAAAGTACGAGTTGAGTTGTCTAAAATCAATACATTCATTCAAGAGTTTACTTGAGATATTCCCTCTACCCCGTAAAGGGGGCCATGTATGTGAAAAAATCAAAAGGCTTCCGAAGAGGAGGCGAACTTGAAAAATTGTAATGAATGATGAGCAAGAAGAAAAAGTTGGATTGTTGTATATTTTGATACCCAGGTATATATGGTTTTTTGCTAGATTCATTAAATGCATTTTGTATTTATTCAGTTTCATTTGTTACAGGCTTTGTCTATATTTTGGTGAGTATTTTTCGTTTTATATTTATTGGCAATATTGTTTAGGAAGTATCACTGTAGAATCATAAACCCCGATTTTTTCATGAAGAAAGAAGAGAATGCGAATGCAAGAAAACGTTCGAATTGGAATAATAATTGAACTTGTTATCAAATTCTAAGAACGCATAGTATGTTGTTCTATTGTGGCCTAATATCCTAAGATTTTCTTTGTTGTATTGCATATATGTATATATTTATGTTTTGAAGAAATCCAGTAACTCTCAATTAGTTCTGTGTTGTTACTCAGCTGTTTTTCCGAAATATCCCATGTCTTTAATAATAACGTAACTTTTTTCACCACTTTTCATTTTCCAATAGAAAACTATTTTTTCAGTTCAAAATTCGCTATTAAATCCAAAGAAATGGAGTGATACACTGAAAAATGTGTTCACTGAAGGAAACATTGAAATACTAGGGATATACAAGAATTGGACAGTTCAAAAAATTCTCCAGCAGAAGAAGGCAGTTTATAAAGGTGTTAAATCCGATAGATGTTTAGTAGAAATTTTGAACATGTCAGCATCCAATGGTTATTGTTACATTAGCAATATTTGTTCCGAAATGATGTTGGATGTTTTTCGAATAGACACAGGATATTTATTAACCCACAGGTAAATATTTTTTTAAATCTGTAAATCTAAAGAGATATCAAAATTTTTTGAAAGACATTATTTTGAAGAACTCCCACAATCTGGAAAATAAACATAGCTGAACACTAATACATACCCCCACCATAAATCTAATAATCACGCTAGCATCAAAAAAGGTATAGTTAAATGTTTGTATGATATGGCAAAGACAGTTTGCGATTCAGTTCATAATATGAAAGAGGAAATAACTATCATTAAAATCATTTTGGGGCAAAACGCATATCTGGAGCAGTTTGTGAGAAGAACTCTCGATGAAGTTGGTAAAAACAAAACGCAACGTATACAGATCCCACAATCATCACAAACCCAACAACAATACACATACCTCACAACCGATGTCGTACATTATGTTTCCGGTATGTCTAAGAAATTGAGACGCATCGGTTATTATCTAATATAACGAAAGAAAAACTTTTAGAACTACCAACATATTGAGATCTCCTTTGAATGAAACTAAACTCGAAAATATGGTTGAAAATATACCTTGTTCCTGTGGAAAAAGTTATACAGGTGAAACCTCAAGACCTTTATATGTTAGAAAAAATTAACATAGTTAATAAATAGGGTGTTTATTAAACATGCTGCAAAAAATTAAGGGACTATTCTTTGGACTATTCTAAGGATATATTGTCGTCTGATGATTTTAGATAGGGCGCTTTGTTTCGAAGATATAGGGCGAAAAAGAATTTTGATAACAACAATTATGGTAGCCGAAATGAAAGTATAGCATACTACACTGGACCTACCAAGTAATAAAAAATCTAACAAATCCGTTGGTACCTATTAACAACATTCTGATTATTACAAACGGTTGCCGACATTCAATTTGCTGGGTGTAACGCAATCAGAAACGATCCTGGGAGTCGCTAAGGAGAAGATTGGATTCTTACATCCAAGCGGGGAGTAGTATTTCCAACAGTTCTTGTAGATTAAGAAACATTATTTATAATTTTTGGTAACAAATTGTTATTGTCGAAATTCTTTTTCGCTCCGTATCTTCGAAAAAAAAGGGTCCTATCAAAAATCATCAAAATACAAAATATTCTTAGAATAGTCCAAAGAATAGCCCCTTAAATTTTTGCCGCATGTTCAATAAACACCATGTATGAGGAGACGACAGATGGCAGGATCGGTGATAGCGGAGCATATTCTTAAACCAACTGGTAAGCACGCTATAGAATGGTTTGAAACAAAAATCATTATCAAAGAAACTCAAAAAAAATTTAAAAAACTCGAAGAATCCGCATATATTTTTCTAGCAGGTAACAAGTGTATTTCATATAGCTGTGTGGATATTGATCGTACCTGGTTGCAATTACTAAGAAGCCACCCGACAGCATCTGCGGGGGCCTCCATTCCCCACCGTTGGGCGTTTTCATTGTAAACATCTTGGGGCTCAACATTGATATCTCCTCCGCTTGCCCCCCTATACTTTTCCTTCTTTCTACCCCTCGACCACCCACTCATGTATGTGAAAGTGGGTGGGTGACACGACTATCGTCAAACTTACACAAGTCCGTTTCGTCTTTGACCAATGCGTAATAATGACCAAATTCAATGTCAGAACCACAGTGAACAATGACTGCATGAAAATTATAATAGTGCTCTGCTAGATTAAAGTGTTCATCTATTTCTAATCTTCGTAAGAGTTTGGTGCTTCCGTCAGAGGTTTGAGGATCATCATTGTTATTATTGGATACTTGTTGTCTCCTAATAGTCAGTTAGTTTGGCGTATATTTGGCAATAAAGTTGATCATCACCCGTCGAAAGTTCTATTTTCAGATGGTTATGAGTCCTATTAGGAAACGCTAGTTTTTGCTACCTCTTGAACATGTACTACAAAGTAAATTAGTGAGGATTTTTCAGCGAAAGATCTACAAACACAAGACGAGATAGACTGTACGGAATCATTCAATCCAGAACGGTCAGGAGTACTGATTCTGCTATTTTCCTGCTCACGAAGAGCTGCCCACAACAAAAACCCCAATAGTTCGGAACGATCATCTTATTGTCCTAACGAGTATCTAGTGGACTTCAAAGACTTTAGGGAATCGATTGGTGAGAAAGATTATACATTCTTACAAAACTGCAGCTGCATGTTTGGGTTTAGTAAATAAGTAGGAAACATTCTCGTTCTCTTTCATCGTTAAAACGAAATGAAGATGGAGAAGTAGAAGCACAAAAAGCTTTTCTTCTCGCGAAAGCCAATCTCTTTTAAAAATATTTTCTCATAGTTAAAAATTCCTATAGTTAGGATTGAATTAAATGAGCCAAAGAATCTATTGAAAATACTTCTTTTACACCAGAACAGTCTTTGTCGTCTCCTGATGATGTTTAATCTTAGTCATCTCCTGATAATACTTACTTGGTTAGCAAATGCGCGTCGAGAGACAGTAATTTGTACTAGCGAAGAAAACGTCTTTTCAATGAATTCATTTTACACCAGAGGTTTCAAATGTTACTTATCAATTGTATGTTTGTCATTACGTACTGTCATCCTTATATATTAGATTTGTGAAGAAACGCCCTTTCCAAACCACATGTTCGGTTCACATGAACACTGAATTATATGGGGTTTTCCAATAAGGACTTGACAACTTTTTTTTTAAATAAAACGCAAACCATTTGAGATATTTCCAAAACTTCATTATCGACTTGTATTTCTACAATCAAAACATTTATGAATGAAACTCGACTTCGTTCATATGGCCACCGCGGGCACGTCGGCAGCGGTCGATTGGTTGGACCCAATTTTCCATGACTCGGTCATACATTTCGGCCGTCGTCGTCGGCTTGTTGTCATAGACCAATGATTTAACGTAGCCCCAAAGAAAAAAGTCTACTGGTGTTAAATCGCACGAATGAAGTGGCCAATTGACTGGTCCATTTCTGGAGATAGCATGCTCACCAAACTTACTCTACAATAAATCGATTGTAATGTATGCTGTGTGGCTTGTGGCACCGTCCTGTTGAAACCACATGTCGTCCAAGTCCAAGTCGTGCCAAAAATAATCGGTAATCATGGCGCGATAACGATCGTCATTCATAGTAACGTGACGATCGTTATTGTCGACGAAAAAATATGGCCCAATGACGCCGCCGGCATGCAAACCGCACCAAACAGTTATTTTTTGTGGATGCAGTGGTGATTCATGAAGCACATGTGGATTTTCACTAGACCAATAATGCAAATTTTTGCACTAAACTTGTTATTGCTTGTCTACTAGGGCGAGCATAACGACCGAAAATTGGAGTCAACGCTCTTAAAGTTGCGGTCACTTACTTCGAATTTCAGAAGTGCATTTTTATAATTTGCATACGTTGTTCGTTCGTGTAATTTACCATGATGAAAATGTTGAGTTTACTGAAGCAAGAAAAGTGACTGTTAGATGATCAGTGAAATAGTGCGTTCATAAATNGGCTGAAACAGTGTCTACCGGTGGCTCTTAAATCGAAATCAATGTGGGAATGATCAGAATAGTACTTATCTATTTATTTTTTGATTTTCATGGAATTATTTTCCAGCAGCTTGACTGCATTAACCCTTCTCTATTTTATATCATTTCCAGAAACATGTGGATTCATTATCCGATGGCACTCCACGTTAGCTTCCCGAATTTCTGCTACCGCAGTTGTCGGTTGATTGGTCAAACCACCAACACCTACATAAAAACTTGGCAAGTTGACTTGGGTGTCACACCACTGATGTATTGCTTGCTTTTACGCAGTTATTTTTGTTAAGTACTTTTCTTGATTAATCGAGGACCGCCTATCCAGTACTGACGATGTCCAATAGGCTAAAACAGCTGTCTACCGGTAGCTCTTAAATTGAAATCAATTTGAGAATGATCAGAATAGTACTTATCTTATCTATTTATCTCTTGATTTTCATGGAGATATTTTGCTGGAGCTTGACTGCATTAACCTTCCTGAATACAAGTAATAATTGTGCATTATTGACTGAATGAATTGAAAATATTCAACTTTTACTATTTTCAGTTGTGTTATGTGGAATGGAAGGTTACTCAGAGTTTATATCTGAAGAATGGATAAGTGAAGTAATAAGATGGCAAAATCCACATGGTTGCTATGAAAGCATTGCAAAAAACAAATCGAAGAGGACAAGTACACTCATAGACTATGGATGTTCTGATCATTCAACAGGATTGGGAGCTGCCGCCCTAGCTCTGTATTACAGATATTTTCATAACACAAGTTTCCAAAATCATTACAATACATTATATTCGAAATAGATAAACGTAATGTTAGGAATATATGTCATGAATCTTGAACTAATGATTTTAAAAAATTGTTATCAAATTATGAATATAAAAAAATACAGCGAAACTGCATTTTTTCATATGATGATACAGGGTGTTTCCTAATTAAGGTACAAAACTTCACGACAAAAATCCCCACGTAATCAAAGAGTCATTTCCAGCAACAATGTTCACTGAACTTTTGGGTAGGAATGATTGTGACTACCTAATTGGCCCATTTTTCCTACCAGCAAGATTAACAGGTGAATCCTAGGTGAACTTTTTGCGAGATCATCTACCCATTTTGTTAGAAGTGTCGGTACTTGTGAGAGGAAACATATGGCCTATGCACGACGGGGCTCCAGCTCATTTGATTGTTCTTGCTGTCAGCATCTTGACATCACCTACCCTATTAGCTGGATTGGACGTGCAGGACCTTAAATTTGGCCAGCTCACAGTCCTGATATGAAGAAAACCCTTGGGACGAAAAAGTTGTACTTTTAGTTGCTTGATCTAAAAAAAATAACTATAAAAAATCAGAAGGGCCACATGTTTTATTATTTGTTTCTTGGAAATTCCTACTTTAGAACTCAAAATTTACACTTTGATCTCGGAATTTTTATTTTAAAGTCGAAATTTCGAGATTAAAGTAGAAATAAAAGTTGAAATGTTGATGACATCTATGGGATCGCAAGGATGAACGAGGTTCCTCAAGGAGGTCGACCACCAACGAGATTTATCCTTTGTTTTCACTGCAGCTTTCACTGCAAGGAAACTGGTTGTGAACTGGAGCACAAACAAAACGCTTCATGATTCGACACCACACAGCGCTGTTTCGACCCGTCATTTATCTCATCAGTGTTGCTAAGCTGAACCACAAACGTATTCAATTCAACTATTCTTGAAGTAAATCTAAAGAAATGAACTTGTGTCAGTGCAGGAATCTTCACAGAAAATTTCCTGCATATGCAATTGGCAATACAACTGAAAGAGTCGACCTTCAATTTTGGAACGGGCACACTTGCAGACCGGTTTCGGGCTCATTAGCCACTCATCAGTGCAAAATAGTGACCATCATCGATCTAAAGTCAATGATATTCCATAATTGAAAATCGGGATTCATTCAGAGAATTTCATTCCTCTTCCTATGTTGGAGCGAAACAACAAAATGTCACTCCATCTAGTGGATGAGGTACTAACCAACTGCATATCCGTAATTTGCCCCATTCCTCTGAATAAGGAAGAAAAACTTTATTATTGTTCAATGGGCTATGCTTGAAGACTGGCAGTCAAGAAATCTAAAGAAATGAACTTTAAACGTTCAAGCCAGTCTCTAATATACCTACAACCTACTGTGTAGGTATACTAGAGACTGGCTTGAACGTTGTTTAAAGTTCATTTCTTTAGATTTGTTGACTGCCAGTCTTCAAGCTAGGACCTACCTCCATATAACACAAAAGCTATGGACAAAATGACATATGTCATTTTATCCGTTACTTATGCATGTCGTTTTGTCCGTCGAGCGTTTTAAAACAATTAAATTTGTAAATGAATAAATAAAGAACTCTTTTTCTAAAAATAAGTTATAAAATTTGAAGATAAGTGTTGTGAGAAATAAAACAATTGCTACATAAACAGATAAAATAGCAAAAAACTTTTTCAGTATGAAAAAAAACTCGTAACGTGTGAGTACCTGTCATCGGCCATGCACCAAGACGAATGAAATGGATGCGTTCAAAATTTGACAGATCATTGAATACCGTTATGGCCACGTGGTTTCACTGTCAGTTTCGTGTTTAAGTCCGCCAAATTCTGAATAACCCGCCTATGTCATTTTGTACGTATTTTCCCTACGTTTCATGATTCTTCGTGGTTAAAAGTTAAAATTATATCTGTAATTGAAATAGATCAGAATGAATCAGCAACTCCCTTTGGAATATGGAAGGCAATGAAGCTGCTGACTCCGTTGCGAAGTAGGGTGCTGCAAGCAGCTTCATCGGACCAGAACCTGTCATTGGCATCGCTTTAGGATTTGCCAAACAAATATATTATATCTGGAATTGAAATAGATCAGAATGAATCAGCAACTCCCTTTGGAATATGGAAGGCACTGAAGCTGCTGACTCCGTTGCGAAGGAGGGTGCTGCAAGCAGCTTCATCGGACCAGAACCTGTCATTGGCATCGCTTTAGGATTTGCCGAACAAACATCGAACACCTGAATGACAAGAACATTTTTGGACTTCTGGCAGAATCTTCCAGGATTGGCTGATTCCAAGGCGTTTGTTCACCTTTCGAAGCTTGATAACAAACAGTTGTTGAACTATAGTTGGGATGAACTACGATGTCTAACAGGCCTTCTCACAGGTCACTGTCATCATATGCAGAGATTCGGACTGTGGGAAGACAGTGTGTGTCTGTTTGGAGAAATGATGAAACAGCAGAGCACACACTTTGTGCCTGCCTCGCTGGGGATCGGAATAGGTATTCAGAGTTTGGCAGAGCCGTACTCTTACCATATGACCTGAAAAACCACTCACCGTACAGAATAATCGGATTCGTTAAGAAGCTGGGTTTATTTGGTCGAGTGTGAATAGGTATCAGCCACAATAAGCCCTTAAGGGTTGCGATGGAGGGTCGAATATACCCACTCACTTACAAAATGTTAGCTTCTTTTACAAGAAGGCCTTTGATAAACCTATAAAAACACAGATTAGGGGTTATTGTACATATTGCATCTTTTGTACTTCGGCCATGCCTACATCCAAAATGGTTGTTTGAGAGAACTTCAAATAAAAAAAAATATGAATTTGTTTCTTCATGAGTTTTTCGATTATCTTGGAGACTACTGGCAATAAATAGATTGGTTGATAATTATCAGTGTTGTTATTACTAATTTCCGTCAATTCGGACTTTTACCTTGCAATAAATATGTATTGATTATGCATACCAATGTTATCTCATACAGGTATTTTTTTGTTTTCAAAATTATTCATAACATCCATCATTACTCAAGTTTTCGAAGTTTTCCAAAAAAATTATTTGGTGTTTTTATTATTGTTGCATTTTCTGTCCCGATTTACTGTAGTTAATGTAGTAAATTAATCAGCAATTCCATCTTTAGAAATTACGATTTTGTCATTTACCTATATTGATTCAATTTTCGTTGTATGTTTTTGTTTAGGACAAATTCCATTGATCACATTCCATAAATTATTGGGGGTTTTTGGAAATTATTGTAATTTTATTTTTGATAATTTGTTATATCGATGAAGTTTATACAAAACATTATGGGAAAACTGCCATAGGAAGGAAGCCATAGAGTTCAAAATAAACTCTTCATGAATACTTGTGATGCACATAAATATGCATGGAAGTTATTTTTCAGATACAAAGTGGAAAAAGCCCTCCCAGAACAACTAGTTTTACATGAACATTAAATTATACCAACATCATTTTTTTCTATTCAGTTCTTCCTCCCAAATGTCGTTATGGAATTGAATTAAATATCATCAAAGGAACGCTACAAAATTTATTATGTGCAAGAGTTGCAGAGTTGCCATATAACACTATCATCCCCAATGGCGGACTTCGAAGTTTCGGAATAAAACATCTGTCTCATCAGCACCTTCCTGGATAATATTATAAGATGAAGCACTCATTTCATTCATAACATAGCGTAATTATTGGCATTTTCCATTGATATGCCTCTGTAAGTTGTAAAATTGAATACAAAAATGCCATATCTGGTTGATATCGATTTCGATCAAAAGATATTTGGGTTAATAGCTCACATGTAAAAAATGGTTCATATGGAGTTTGAGTTTCCACAAGATTTTTCAATGAATGTTTATTGAAAATTCATATAAACGTTATTGTCAAACATTTACGACAACTGCAATTTTACGAAGACTGGAAAAAGCTATACTCCGGGTTGGTTGGCCGTGATCGCCAAGCCAATGAAAGCAGTAAGGAAGAGTTAAAGGTCAGGTAAGAATACGCGTATATAGGGAGGTGATAAAAATTCAGATATACAGAATGTTCAATCGAAAGGAAGAAATCACTAGTAATTAACTCTGACTACCTGTTCCTAATTTCATACATCATTGAATTCAGCTATTAGAAACGAAGTATTACTCACCACCAATGGAATGAAACCAGACATTCTAATATTGTATATTCGAGGACAACTAGAACATTTCATACGATGCCTCATAGCCTCTGAAACTACCTACCGCTGACGTATACGAAATGCTGCAGGCCTAAAACCCTGCAGACCACGGTGTAATAACTGCCATTGCGATAATTATTGAAAAATATAATTTTATTCATAAAGATCGATATTCCAGAAAGAAAAAAGAAAGAGTACGGTTAAAACATCAGTATGTTTTTGGTTAGGTCTACGTGAAGGGTAAATTTGATTACATTATGGCTAAAAAATAGTTCATTCAGTAGGATGCCAGATTAAGAAGTGCGGATTACCGGCCATAACAGGTATTAAACGATTTAGGAAGTGTGCCTTGACACACGTTTTGGGTTGGTAGGCAGCCATCCCTGTTTACCCGACCAAGAGGAGGAAAACTTGTTCATACGGATCGAAAAACAAAAAGTGAAAATTCAACTTACATCTTGTGGACTTCAACTTCGGTTATTCCGAAAAGTCACGATTAGGTGCACCAGAACTTGGATGTACCTGAGTCATCGTAATAATTAACAAATTTCAGTCAGGTGGGGACTATAATCTCACTGGGTACGATAATCGTTCCCTGGCTAAGACCAGAACAAAAATTGTAGATTCACGTTTTGGCGACTTTGGGAAACCTCAACCGCTGGGCCTCGGTGGAAAGGATCGACAGGGGTTTCTCAACATATACGGGTGGAAAGAGAAATATGATAGTATCTTCACCTCTTTACTGTTCACAGATAACGTGAAGTTGGAGTTATTCGAAAAGGATAGTTCCTAAATTTACCGATCATAGTAGGTGTATAACGTGGAAGATTATGCCAATAGGGCATGAGATTAGAAGTAGGGAATACCGAAAAAGGAGGGCGCGAGAGTAGGGGGAAAGGTTTCAATAAGGGAAAGATCG